CTCGCGCCAACAACTTGCTTGCATAGAGAACGTGCTCGGAGAGTTGCTTCGAGGAAATCGCGCCAAACAACTTGTTAGTGCACATGCACAAAGAGAAACTTTGCTTGGAGAGGGCTTGCTCAGAGGAACTGCGCCAACACTTGTAAGAGCATACTTGCATAGAGAAATTGTCGGCAGAGCTTGCTCAGAGGAACTCGCGCCAACAACTTGATTAGAGCAACTTGCGTAGAGAACTTGCTCGGAGAGCTTGCTCAGAGGAACTCGCGCCAACAACTTGAACAGAGAACTTGCTCGGAGAGCTTGCTCAGAGGAACTCGCGCCAACAACTGGCTGTGAGCAACTTGCGTAGAGAACTTGCTTGGAGAGCTTGCTCAGAAACTCGCGCCAACAACTTGCTCAGAGGAGCTCGCGCCAACAACTTGCTCAGAGCAACTTGCGTAGAGAACTTGCTCGGGGAGCTTGCTCAGAGGAACTGGCGCCAACAACTGGCTTAGAGCAACTTGCATAGAGAACTTGCTCGGAGAGCTTGCTCAGAGGAACTCGCGCCAACAACTGGCTTAGAGCAACTTGCAAAGATAACTTGCTTGGAGAGCTTGCTCAGAGGAACTCGTGCCAGCAACTTGCTTAGAGCAACTTGCATAGAGAACTTGCTCGGAGAGCTTGCTCAGAGGAATTCGCGCCAACAACTTGCTCAGAGCAACTTGCATATAGAACTTGCTCGGAGAGCTTGCTCAGAGGAACTCGCGCCAACAACTGGCTTAGAGCAACTTGCGTAGAGAAGTTGCTCGGAGAGCTTGCTCAGAGGATCTCGCGCCAGCAACTTGCTTAGAGCAACTTGGATAGAGAACTTGCTCGGAGAGCTTGCTCAGAGGAACTCGCGCCAACAACTTGCTTAGAGTAGCTTGCGCAGAAAACTTGCTCGGAGAGCTTGCTCAGAGGAGCTCGCGCCAACAACTTGCTTAGAAGAACTTGCATAGAGAACTTGCTCGGAGAGCTTGCTCAGAGGAACTCGCGCCAACAACTGGCTTAGAGCAACTTGCATAGAGAACTTGCTCGGAGAGCTTGGTGAGAGGAACTCGCGCCAACAACTTGCTTAGAGCAACTTGCATAGATAACTTGCTTGGAGAGCTTGCTCAGAGGAACTCGCGCCAACAACTTGCTTAGAGCAACTTGCGTAGAGAACTTGCTCGGAGAGCTTGCTCAGAGGAATTCGCGCCAACAACTTGCTCAGAGCAACTTGCATAGAGAACTTGCTCGGAGAGCTTGCTCAGAGGAACTCGCGCCAACAACTTGCTTAGAGCAACTTGCATAGAGAACTTGCTCGGAGAGCTTGCTCGGAGAGCTTGCTCAGAGGAACTCGCGCCAACAACTTGCTTAGAGCAACTTGCATAGAGAACTTGCTCGGAGAGCTGCTCGGAGAGCTTGCTCACTTGCTTAGAGCAACTTGCATAGAGAACTTGCTCGGAGAGCTTGCTCAGAGGAACTCGCGCCAACAACTTGCTTAGAGCAACTTGCATGGAGAACTTGCTCGGAGAGCTTGCTGAGAGGAACTCGCGCCAACAACTTGCTCCGAGCAACTTGCATAGAGAACTTGCTCGGAGAGCTTGCTCAGAGGAATTGGCGCCAACAACTCTCTCGGAGCAGCTTGCATAGAGAACTTGCTCGGAGAGCTTGCTCGCCAACAACTTGCTTAGAGCAACTTGCATAGAGAACTTGCTCGGAGAGCTTGCTCAGAGGAACTCGCGCCAACAACTTAGAGCAACTTGCATAGAGAACTTGCTCGGAGAGCTTGCTCAGAGAAACTCGCGCCAACAAATTGCTTAGAGCAACTTGCATAGAGAACTTGCTCGGAGAGCTTGCTCAGAGGAGCTCGCGCCAACAACTTGCTTAGAGCAACTTGCATAGAGAACTTGCTCGGAGAGCTTGCTCAGAGGAATTCGCGCCAACAACTTGCTTAGAGCAACTTGCATAGAGAACTTGCTCGGAGAGCTTGCCTGGCGGAGCCCAGATCATGCAAAAAGCAAAACCAAATTGCGTACGCGTCAGGAGAGAAGAGAATTGCTCAGCGAAGCTTGCTCAGGAGGAACTCGCGCCAACAACTGGCCTTGGAGTAGCCTCAAAAATTACACAACCATCTTTGTTCACAATCAGAGGACCTCGCGCCAGCAACTTGCTCAGAGCAACTTGCTCGGAGAGCTTGCTCAGAGGAACTCGCGCCAACAACTTGCTTAGATTAGCTTGCGCAGAGAACTTGCTCGGAGAGCTTGCTCAGAGGAACTCGCGCCAGCAACTGGCTTCGAGCAACTTGCATAGAGAACTTGCTCGGAGAGCTTGCTCAGAGGAGTTAACTCGCGCCAACAACTTGCTTAGAGCAACTTGCATAGAGAACTTGCTCGGAGAGCTTGCTCAGAGGAACTCGCGCCAACAACTTGCTTAGAGCAACTTGCATAGAGAACTTGCTCGGAGAGCTTGCTCAGAGGAATTGGCGCCAACAACTTGCTCAGAGCAACTTGCATAGAGAACTTGCTCGGACAGCTTGCTCAGAGGAGCTCGCGCCAACAACTTGCTTAGAGCAACTTGCATAGAGAACTTGCTCGGAGAGCTTGCTCAGAGGAAGTGGCGCCAACAACTTGCATAGAGCAACTTGCATAGAGAACTTGCTCGGAGAGCTTGCTCAGAGGAGTTAACTTGCGCCAACGACTTGCTTAGAGCAACTTGCATAGAGAACTTGCTGGGAGAGCTTGCTCAGAGGAACTCGCGCCAACAACTTGCTTAGAGCAACTTGCATAGAGAACTTGCTCGGAGAGCTTGCTCAGAGGAACTCGCGCCAACAACTTGCTTAGAGCAACTTGCATAGCGAACTTGCTCGGAGAGCTTGCTCAGAGGAACTCGCGCCAACAACTTGCTGAGAGCAACTTGCATAGAGAACTTGCTCGGAGAACTTGCTCGGAGAGCTTGCTCAGAGGAACTCGCGCCAACAACTTGCTTAGAGCAACTTGCATAGAGAACTTGCTCGGAGAGCTTGCTCAGAGGACTTGGCGCCAACAACTTGCTCAGAGCAACTTGCATAGAGAACTTGCTCGGAGAGCTTGCTCAGAGGAACTCGCGCCAACAACTGGCTTAGAACAACTTGCGTAGAGAACTTGCTCGGAGAGCTTGCTCAGAGGAACTCGCGCCAGCAACTTGCTTAGAGCAACTTGCATAGAGAACTTGCTCGGAGAGCTTGCTCAGAGGAGTTAACTCGCGCCAACAACTTTCTTAGAGCAACTTGCATAGAGAACTTGCTCGGAGAGCTTGCTCAGAGGAACTCGCGCCAACAACTTGCTTAGAGCAACCAGCGTAGAGAACTTGCTCGGAGAGCTTGCTCAGAGGAATTGGCGCCAACAACTTGCTCAGAGCAACTTGCATAGAGAACTTGCTCGGAGAGCTTGCTCAGAGGAACTCGCGCCACCAACTGGATCAGAACAACTTGCATAGAGAACTTGCTCGGAGAGCTTGCCCAGAGGAACTCGCACCAACAACTTGCTTAGAGCAACTTGCGTAGAGAACTTGCTCGGAGAGCTTGCTCAGAGGACCTCGCGCCAACAACTTGCTTAGAGCAACTTGCATAGAGAACTTGCTCGGAGAGCTTGCTCAGAGGAACTCGCGCCAACAACTTAGAGCAACTTGCATAGAGAACTTGCTCGGAGAGCTTGCTCAGAGGAACTCGCGCCAACAACTTGCTTAGAGCAACTTGCATAGAGAACTTGCTCGGAGAGCTTGCTCAGAGGAACTCGCGCCAACAACTTGCTCAGAGCAACTTGCGTAGAGAACTTGCTCGGAGAGCTTGCTCAGAGGAACTCGTGCCAACAACTTGCTTAGAAAACACTTGCATAGAGAACTTGCTCGGAGAGCTTGCTCAGAGGAACTGGAGCCAACAACTGGCTTAGAGCAACTTGCATAGAGAACTTGCTGGGAGAGCTTGCTCAGCGGAGTTAACTCGCGCCAACAACTTGCTTAGAGCAACTTGCATAGAGAACTTGCTCGGAGAGCTTGCTCAGAGGAACTCGTGCCAACAGCTTGCTTAGAGCAACTTGCATAGAGAGATTCCACGAGATTGTCCACGATCCGCCGGGCGCTTGCCAGTTTTTAGCGTTTCGCGCCGGCAGAGCCTCAGAAGATGCATGGTGTGAATCAAGCTCGGATCTCGTGGGTTGAGCGCTTTCAGTAGTCCCGCAGAGCAGCTTGCGCCACGATGCCTTGAGAAAGACGTGCGCAGAAACTCGTAAACAACAAATTGTGCATGAAGAGTGGCGCAGGGAACTTGCGCAGAGAAACTTGCGCTGAGAGTTCTTGCTTGTGCAGACACAAACCTGCCACAAAGAGCCTGCTCAGAGAAACTTGCATTGATAACTTGTGCAGGCAAACTTTCTCGGGGAAACTTCCGCATTTTTTTGCACAGCGCAATGTGCAGGGGAGAGATCTTGCACAGAGACCGTTGGCGCAAAGAATTTGCGCGGGGAACTTGCAACGAGAGTTGCGTCGAACACTGAGAAACTTGCATACGAGTTCTTCCCAGGAAACTTGCGCGGAGAATTTGGGTAGCTTGCACGTCAAGTGACTTTGCAACGCGCCTTCTCCTGTTTTAGGCTCGGTGGCGTTTGCTCTCGGGCCACCCGCTTTCTCTTCCCCTTTCCCTCTTTCTCAGTCTATATTTCTCGCAAAGAACAACCAATCTTACATGTGAGTGTTTTTTCACACTGTTGCACTTAGCCGTAGATGCTTATGTAAAGTTGCACCTTGACTCATGAAGGGTTTGACCTTGGGGGCGCGCGCTGGGCAACTCCGTGCGGTCTGCCTGTCTGTGTGATTTCTGTTGGCTCTTAGTTTTTGGTGCAAGAGTTGCTGAACCACTTGGCTCCCGGGAGCGAGACTTGCGATATTGGAGCCCTTACCATCCGCCACCCATCATTTACCATTCAGTTCGCCTCGTTGCCGAGTTGCCGGCGTGTCTCTTTTCTGAGACAGGAAGAGGGCACCTCCATCAAGAAACGAGCAGCCGGATGGGCAACTTAGCGTCACAGGCAGCCAGGAAGGATTTTTCTCAATCACCTCCCGAGGCTAAGACTTTAGGCCTGGAAGAGAAGCGGTGGTCTCAGCGCCGTTAGTGACGTGAATCAGCCGCATTGAGACTCGCGCAAGTCGGTGTGCGACTTGCGCGGCCGGCCCCAATGAATCCTGCGAGTCTTTGGTTGCATGTTTGCGCGCTGTGCCGGGGTGCGCGTTTCTCTTGGCACGAGGGACATGGTGGAGAAGCTCACCGGATTTTTTGGCGCTGATGTCGATGCAGGGCGCAAAGATCAGCCGATTCGACTCATGGTGTCCAACAAAAAGGGCAAAAGGATAAATGCGTCGGCTTGCCTTTTGCACAGGCGCTGCAGGATCCTGTCGCTTTCGAGGTTGTCAGTGCCGATGAGGCGTGTGGCCAGGAGCAAGGAGAGGCCAGCGCCTGAAAGCATCAAGCTGCCTCAGGAAACTGTGGAGTTTAAGATCCGGCTGCTCAGCTGCACGCGTCACACGCTACATTCACAAGTGAACAATTCCCAGGTGTCGAAATGGAAAGACGCTTCACGAGAAGAGCACATTCCAAAAGGTGGGTTTCGAGCGTGTGTGAGTTGACATCCAGGGATGTGACAGGACAGGAAATGGGGCTATGTCTACTCTGGCGAGTCTGCTCATGCCTCAGCAAGTTTCGTATGGGCGCAACGTCGAGTGACCAGGAGTTTGCGGAATGGAGCTGAAGAGGCAAGCTCAATGCCACACGCCACACGCCGCATAATTTCATGGATTGATGACCAGGTCAACGTTTGAGACTGCCGTTTCTGATCCTAAGACGCATGCGAGTAGCGGCCGCTGATTTGCGTCTCACTGACGCCCAGTTTTCACGAAGAATCACGGAGACCATGGTTTGCGCAAGCTGACTGTTTCTTCATTGCGACTTTCTTCCACTATCAAATCATCAAGGATGGGACTGGAAACAATTCAAGCGAAACAAAGATAGGCGCTTTGAAGCAGACATGTGTGACGTTTGACGCCTTTGAGACCGTTGCCCTGCAGATCTGTGGCTCAAATGGCGGAGGGGACTGATCACGAGCAGGCCTTTGCTGGGCTTAGCGCAATCCCGAATTCCCCCCCGTGAAATCAACCAATTTTCAGTCGAAGTCGCATTCCGAAGACAGCCGAAGCCGAAGAATCTGGAGTTTCTGGCGAATCCATTTGTCTGGCAAGGCGCTGAAGCGGTACGTGGCGAAGGTGCAGGAGCACCGCGAATTCGAATCCCGAGTGAAAAAGCTACGGGACACCGTGAAGAAGAACTCCGTCGACTACGACAAGTCCGAGGAACTCTTTTCTCGCATTTCTCGGAAACTGTTGACACTATACAAAAATCCCCCCCCCCCCCCGTCAGAAGGAAGAGTGTGTATAATGTGCCACGCGCGCTTTTGGCACAAGTGTCTATGCTAGTTAGGCCATTTAGCCTACTTTAATTTGGACAAATTAGGAAAATTGAGTTTCGATTTCCAATGATTTCACTGTTTTGGAAAAATACGGGTGTTTTTACATATCGTTCTAATGAAATTATGGAAATCACAAAAGCATAGCATTCTAGGGCAGGCTTTTTTGGTTTCCTTTCCTTAAATTGAACTAGGACAAGTGAGAGAATGAAACATGGAAAAGTAGGTCCCAAGATTCCGGGAAGTGGGTCTGGGAAGACTACAGGAAGCCTACGAAAGACTCCTGGAAGCGACGCTTAGAACAAATGGAACAATTAGGACACTCGAGGGCCTCTTTTAAGTTTGTTTTAGAAAGATTAGACTGATTTTGCATTCTTTCTAGTATTTCTGTTCAAACTTGGAAAAATCAAAAGTTAGGGTCGTGTTTTGTCGAGTGCCTTTTCTAGTTCTTCCTAAGCTAGACAAATTAAACAAATAGCAAATTCGCGCGGCCAGTTTTTCTATCTTGTTGACAAGAACAAAAAAACAATCAAATGCCATCATTCAAAGCCTTTCATTTTCCGAATTCCGCAGTCTTGCAGATCAACCAGGTTTCAGCCTTCCCAGACCCACTTCCAGATTTTTGGGGCCTACAGTTACGCTTGTATTGTAGTTCTATTCCTTTTTATTTGTAAAACAAACATACAAGAATGTTCTAGTTGTTCCGACTCAATTAGGACAATTCGAGCAAGAAATGAAAGGAACATGGCATAGACATTTTACGGAAATCAAAGGAAGCATCGGTGCTTCAAACTCTTTACGGAGTTCCGAAACGAGCACTTGATTGGCACGGGTTGGGCTTGGGGACTTCTCGAAGGAATAGAGGCATGGAAAGGAATGGAAAAGATGGAAAGGGCAAGGAGAAAAAAGGAAAGGATATGAACATGGTCAGAAAGCGGACGGAAATTGAAGACAATTGTGCACGTGTCGGTAGAAAGGTTTGAAGAGTGAATGGAACGACTAGCTAAGAAGACATGGGGAGGAGGTTGAAAGATACAAAAACAAGAAGGGAGGGAAATGGAAGGGAATAGAGAAGAAATGACACAGGACACCCGTAGTTCTTAAAGTCTTTACCCGGGATAATTACGACACGCGCACTTTTCAAGCCCCGACTCCGACTGGACCATTGTCATGACCTTTCCATTTCTTTCCATGTCCTTGTTCTTTGTCCTTTCCATGTCATTTTCAGTGCCTTTCCATTCGCTCTGTCTTTCTTCGGCATTCTTTTGCCTTTTGTTTTCCTTCCTTTATTCTATGTCCTTTCCAATTCCTTGGTTCTTTCCATATCCTTTCAATCCTTCTCATTTCCCTCCATTTCCTTTCCATGTCCTTTCCATTTCCTTCCATCCCCTCCCTATCGCCCATTCCATGTCAATTCCATTTCAATTCCATGTCCATTCCATTTCAATTCCGTATCCATTCCATTTCAACTCCGTATCCATTCCATGTCAATTCCATTTCAATTCCATTCCTTTCTTCCCATTTGCTTTCCCTTGAGTTCTGTTTATGTCCTTTCCATTTGCTGGTTGTTTCCTTTGAATACATGTTTTTTTTTTTTTTTTTTTTTTTTAATGTCCTGCAAGTTGTTTCCATTCAACATTTGCAAATGAACGGAGCTTGAAAGAAATATTACTGGAAAGCAACAACTGTTGTTGCTTTCCATGAATATTTATTTCAGATTCTCTTCATGTCCTTTTTAAGTTGTTTCAATTTACTTCCATGTCTTGCAACTTTGCAGTTTCCTTTCCATTCCTTCCTGATTCAATTACGAGCAACTGCTCGTTGGGAAATTTCTTCCGGAAGGAATGTTGAAGCGGCGAGTTTCGTTTCCATGTCCTTTAATTTGCTGTCCATATCTTTGGAACGGAAATGGACGGAGATGAAAAGAGCAGAATGGAATTTGAATGGAATGAACAAGAATGAAAGTGACATGGCATAGAAATGTCATGGGCAGGAAACTTGGACTTCAAATCCTTTTACATGGGAAATTGCGAAACGACCACCTCTTCTTTGACGGGTTGGCCTTGGGCACAACTAGCAATGAACAGGGATAGAAAGGAATGGACAAAATTGGAAAGCACTCGCAGAGAGAAATGGAAAGGACATAAGATCGAAATGGCGTGCAATGGAAATGAATGGAAAGGACACATTTCTTCATGGGAAGGAATAACAAGAGCATGGACGATAAATTAGCATAAAATTGACACGCAACGGCAAGTAGAAAGAAGGGAAGATGGAATACAAAGAGAATAGAAAGGACATCTAAAGTCATTGAGAATGGAAGCAAATCGGAAGGAAATGGAAACGAAATTTAAAGGATATGGAAAGAAGAAAGGATGGAAAGGTTATGAAAAGGAAGGGGAAAGGAAATTAAAAGAAAGGAATGGAACTGAAACTGAATTGAAATGGAATGGACATGGAAAGGAATGAAAGGTACATGGAAAGGAACGGAAGCGACATGGAAGGAAAGTTCAATCATGTGGAAAGGAAACTTGCAGCTTCAATTGTCTTTGCTCAGACATTTCGAAACGAGAAACGAGCACTTGTTCTGCCCGGGCTGGAGTTGGGCACTTCTAGCTAGGAAAAAAGCAGAATGGAAAGGAAGCGTAAGAAAATGGAACAAATGGAAAGACATGGAAGGAAATTTGAAGAACATGACACGAAACGAGACTGAAAGAACTAGAAAGAGCACGAAAACAAAATTGAGGACATGGAAAGAACAGGAAATGCGAAGGAAATGAAAAGAGCATAAAAAGGAACGGAGCAACAATGAAAAGACAGGTATAAAATTCCGATGGAGTTGAAAGGACATGACAAGGAAATGACATGAAAAGAAACAGAAAGCAAATTAGTCGAAACAAATGCAAGTTAAATTGAATTGACATGGAATGGACACGTAAAGAATTGAAAAGACCTGCAAAACAACTAAAAGCACATGGAAAGAAAGCTCAGACAATCGATAGGAGACTTGCCGCTTCAAAGTTATTTAAACTGGAAATGGCGAAACGAGCACTTGTTCTGCCCGCGCTGACCTTCAAGCGATAAACAAAATAGGGTGGGAAGAAGGCCACCTGAAGCTCTTGTCCTTACGTGGGTAAAAATACTTCCTTTCATTCCTTAGTTATTTTCCATGTCCTTTAAAGTTCCTTTCCATTTCCTTTTCACTCTGTCCATTCCTTCTCATTCCTAGCTAGAAGTGCCCAAGGCCGGCGCAGCCCTAAAAAAATGCGCGTTTCGCAATTTCTAAAGACCTTTGAAGCGGCGAGTTTCCTTTCCATTGTTTGCATGCCCCTCGCGTTCCCTTCCATGTGCCTTTCGTTCCTTCCCATTTCCAGACCGTATTAATTCCGTTTCAGTTGCATTTGCTTCTCAATTCGTTGCATTCCTTTCTCTGTCCCTGTCCTTTCAAGTTCGTTTCCATGTCCTTTCCATTCTTAGTTTCAATTGCATATTCTATTTACGTCCATTTCTTCGTCTTTTTTATTTTCGTTTATTCCTTTTGTACCAGTGGGCAGCCGGCGTAGAGTAGGCGCGGGCTAGCTTCACAAAATAAGGAACAGAGCTTGCGGAAGGGCAACCAGCACCTGCCTATCGTGCAAGCGTTGTTTTGGGGCATATTGTTCTCAGGAAAATTTCTCTGGTTTTGTTTATGGATCCCACAAATATATCCGCCTTTCTCATTTAGTTTATGTTTCTTGTTTTTCTTCCTTCATTTTCTTCTGACTTCTCATTTCATTGAGGACCACCTCAAGGCTTTGCAAAGCGTGGGGCAAATCATTGGTGAGGCGCCACATGCAGAAACAAGCTTGGGGCATGGTGAGAGCAGTGTGAGAGCGAGAGAGAGCGCTAGGTACTGAGACAGCTCGATGCCGAGCGCTTCATCGTGAAAGCCTCCAGCGGCCCACGCTACGTGGTGACCTGCAAGGCGGCGTCCATCGATGGCATCGTGGCGCGCGCCGCGCGCCGCGCGCCGCGCGCGTTCCATCGCATGGTTCGCTCTGAAGAGGTGAAGCTCGACAAGTCGAAGCTCGTCTCCGGCAGATGCCTTGATTCTACACAGCCACTGACACAGATCTGACTGCCCATACGTCAGATGGTCAGATGGTCAGGCAGCCGCGTCTCCCTTGACATGACGACGCTGACCATCATGCGACTTCTTCCAAGAGAGGTGGACCCCATGGTCTTCAGCATGCTTCATGAGGACTCGATGGGCGCGCGCCGCGTGGCTTGTCAGGTTTTTCTGCAACGCGCCTGCCAGTGCCGCATCAGCAGCTTTGAGCGTTTGAACAAACAGAAACGCCAAGCTGTTGCTCCGATTTGACCATTTTCCCGCGATGCTGCACTTTCTCGAGAGGCAAGCAAGCCCTATCACCAAGCCTAGCTTGACATTTGGATCCCACTTTCATGGCCAAGCCCTCCATTTTCAATTTTGGTTCTTCTTTCCCGGACCGAGTTTCTCTGACGAGAGAAGAAAGAAGAAAGTCTGAAAGCGTATCTCGGAAATTTGAAAACGCATTTCTCTTTACCGAGAAGCGAAGCACCCGACGAGAGAACAGGGAGACGGGGAGACGGGGGCGGAGAGGACGGGGGGGAGACGACGGGGGGGAGAGACGACGCGGGGGGGGGGGACAGGACGGGGGGAGGAGAGGACGGGCGGGGGAGGGGGGAGGAGAGGACGGGGGGGGGGGAGAGGACGGGGGGGGAGAGGACGGGGGGAGGAGAGGACGGGGGGGGGGGAGAGGACGGGGGGGAGAGGACAAGGGGGGGAGATGGAAGGGTAGACCATGTATAATGTGGCGCGCGCGCGCGCGTGGCTCACATGACCCGCACGCCCCTTGTTGTTTTCATTATTCGAATCACTCCATATACTTTTACAGGGGCGGGTGACTGTTGAGGAATGCCAAATCCAATTCTAAGTGTCTAATTCTTCCAATTATTCCCGAATGGACGGGCGTGCTTTGGATCTTCAATGCAATTTCCATTTTTGTGCAGCTATTCTAATTGTTTTGTTCCCGCAAGGGACTGGAGCCCTTTGGCGAATTTCAGATCCATGCTTGCTCTAACTATTCTGCTTCCAAAACCTACTATCCCATCTTATGTTATTTCCAACGCAAGGGCTTCCTTTCGGGGAAATGCAACACTCATGCTTGTTCTAATCATTCTAAGCATTCTCACAATTCTAACATTATGTTTTTCAGTGGCCGGGCGCCTTGTTGGGAATGTCCAGATTCACTTTGAGCTAATCATTCTACTTCTCATTTTTATCCTAACATGTGTTCCCAAAGGGACGGGTGGTGCTTTCTGGGCAAATCCAGACTCACGTCTAATTACAATGATTGTTCTAACTAGCCTAATTCTTCGATTTATTCAAAATGGGTTGGGTGCTTTCGTGGATTTCCTGGCTATACTCTTCTGATTATTCGGGTTATGCTAGTTATTCCCAAAGGGACGCGTGCCTTTTGAGAAAATAACCAATTCATTGTTGCTAGTTGATCTACTTATGCTAAGAACTTGGATAAGTAGTATAATTAGAACACAGTTTCCTATTACTCATGTTGCTGAAAGGGACAGGTGCCTTTTGGGGAGTTCCAGATGCAATTGATTTAATTCGTCCAATGATTCTTTATATTATCATTCTAAGTATTCCAAAGGGACGGGCACCCTTTGGGGAAATCCAGATTCAGTGTCTGTTCTAATCATTCTACGGTTGATTTGTCCAATTACACCAATTATTGTGGAATTCAATATTCATGTTTGCAATACGCAATTGTCAGAACCATTCTCGTTACTCTAATTTTTCCCGAGGGGCCCTTGGGGAAATGGCAGATACGTTTAGATCATTTCAAGTCTTGGAGTGGTTCCAACTCGTTGAAATAAATAGAATAAGACGAAGACGCGTAGCCGTATTTGTTGTTTCTTGTCTGTTAAAGCTTGAACCAGTTAAACAATCGCCTTGTGTTTCTCATTATTCCAATCACTTTTCTTATTGTTTTCACAGGGGTGGGTGCCTTTGGGGGAAGTACGCGTAAATCGTGTGTATCTGCTCTAGTTGTAAAAATGACTATCGAATTAGAATATTAAACAACACAGACCAGATAACGCCCTTTGGTTTTCTAGCCACTCGGCTTATTCTAACTGTTCAAACAGGGGCGCGTGCCTTCTCAGGAAATCAACATCACTTTATTTGCAAGTTCCTGTAATTATTTAAGCTGTTCTAATTATTCCCCAGGGATGCCTTTTTCATGTTTCAAATTGTTCTACTCATGTATTCCGAAAGGGACAGGTGCCCTGTTGGGCGGAATTCCCGATTCATTGACTTCTAATTAACTACTTTTCCCATTGATCCGAATATCCAGGACGATAAGATAATATATGTTTTGCTAATTGTTCTAAATATTCTACTTGTTCCCAATTGGACAGGTGCCTTTGGGAATTCCAGATTAAGGTTTGCTCCAACTATCCTGAGTAGTTTCATATTCTATCCATTGCCCAACGGACGGGTGCCTTTTGGGCGAATTCCAGATTAGTGTTTGTGCCAATTTTTCTAACTCTCTAACTATTCTGATTATTCCCAAAGGGGCGGGTGCCTTTTGAGGAATTCAAGATTAATCTTGCAAATTACTTTATTTTACACAATTCTTCTAGTTCTTCTAATTGTAATCTCTAGGGGGTGGGGGTGCCTTTGACAGAATTTCAGACTCGTGTTTGCTCTAGGTATGATACTTTTATCAAAAGAGATAGGGCCTTTTGGTGAATTCCATAGTTTTCCCACACTGTTCCTATCATTTGAATAATTTCCAGATGAGCAGCCTTCTTTTGGTGAGTAGAGAGGGTGACTGTTGGGAATTCCAAATCCATGTCTTCTAAGTCTCTAATTCCTCCCATTATTCCCATTATTCACGGCGTGCCTGGGAATTTTCAGGTTCAACTTCACCATTTGGCAAATTCCAGGTCTATGCTTGTTCTAATTATTCTACTTCTTATAAGTGCTATCATTATCTTATGTGCGTCCCAAATGGAGGGGTACCTTTTGGAGAATTCAAGATTCATGTTTGTTCTAACTAGTGTAAGCGTTCACAACTCCAACTGTTCTACTTATTTTCAATCGACCGGGAGCCTTCTGCGACAGTCCAGATTCAGTTTGTGCTAATTAGTCTACTTCTCATGATTATCCTAACATTTATTTCCAACGGGGCGGGTGCCTTCTGAACATCCAGGCTCACTGTCTAATTACAATAATTCTTCAATTTAATCTAGCCTAATGCTTCGATTTAAACTATTACCATTATCTTATTTGCTTCCCAAATGAAGGGGTACCTTTTGGGGAGTTCAATATTCATGTTTGTCCTAACTAGTCTAAGCATTCACAACTCTAACTGTTCTACTTATTTTCAATGGCCTGGGAGCCTTGTGGGGAAGTCCAGATTCAGTTTGTGATAATTATTCTACTTCTCATGATTATCCTAACATTTGTTTATGTTTAAAGGGGCGGGTGCCTTCTGGGGAAATCCTGACTTACTGTCTAATTACAATACGTGTTTTTAATTTCGATGTATTAAATGAGTTCTCCTGGTTAAGGGACACGTGCCTTTTGGGAAAATCCAAATTCATTGTTGCTAGTTGATCTACTTAGTCTAAGAATTTGGATAAGTAGTAAAATTAGAACATTGTTCCCTATTACTCGTCTTTCTGAAAGAGACAGGTAGGTGCCTTTTGGGGAATTCCAGATGCATCTGTCTTAACTCGTCCAACGGTTCTTTGTAATAGTATCATTCTAAGTATTCCAAAGGACGGGCACCCTTTGGGGAATCCAGATTCAGTGTCTGTTCTAATCATTCTACTTCTTTGATTTGTCCAATTGCACTAATTAGTCTCAAAGGGGCCGGGTGCCTTTTTATGGGGAGGGGCCTTTTGGGAAATGGCAGATGTGTTTAAATCATTGTGAGTATTGGAGTGGTTCTAATTAGTTAGAATAAATAGAATAAGACGAAGACACGTAGCCCTATTTGTTGTTTCTTGTTTGTGCCACGGGGGCAGGTGCCTTTTGGGGAAGTACGCAAACATCGCGTCTAACTATTCAAGCTATTAAACTCATTCTGACAAATTAGACACATTAACAAAAATAGACCAAACAAAGCCCTTTTTTTTCCAGCCATTCGGCATTTTTCCAATTGTTCCCACAGCGACGCGTGCCTTCTCAGGAAATCCACATCATGTGTTGCGCAAGTTCCTGTAATTGTTCAAGCTGTTCTAGTTATTCCTCACGGGAAGGATGCCCTTTGGGGAACTCCAGATCCATGTTTCAAATTATTCTACTCATGTATTCCGAAAGGGTCAGGTGCCTGTGGGGAATTCCCGAATCATAGATTCATAATTAGCTAGTTCTTGACCATTGAATCGAATAACCATGATAAGAAGAGAACAAACAGGGCTATGTTTTGCTAATTGTTCTAAATAGTAAATTTGTTCTCCGCGGGACAGGTGCCTTTGGGAATTCCAGATTAAGGTTTGCTCCAACTATCCTGAATAATTTCATTTTTATATCCATTCCCAAAGGGACGGGTGCCTTTGGGGCGAACTCCTGATTCATGTGTGTGTGCCAATTCTTCTAACTTGTGGAAATCATGGGGCTGAAAGCCCCGGTTGCATGGCAGACAGTTTCGCCGTGGCCAAGCTGGCCCGAGACGCAATCGCCCTCTCTCATGAGGGCTGACACGTATGGCCCGCTATGCACCAGACACATAGCAGGCATAGCACGTAGCAACACACGCTTCGACTTTGCGCCAGTGCGCTTTCGCACTGGTAGCGGAGCTTGCTCCGTGGCCCGCGCCATGGCTGGCGGGGATGCCGTTCCATCCCGAGCATTCTGGAGGGATGATGAGATCATTTGCGATCGGGACGGCGTCCCGCAGTTCACAGGGGTCCAGCCGCACCTCATGAAGGAGTGCCGGGAGGGAGATGGCAAGGATGAAGATGAGGAGGCGGCTGATCTGAAGAAGAAACAGCAGCGCCTGATCGATGGGCTCCACGGAGACGCCTGGAGAGCGGTGCAGAACTTGGTGATGCACAGCACAGAGCTGAAGAAGGTCGACGGTTACAAGGAGGTCTTCGGAGCGTCGAGCGCGAATCGGTAGTCAAGAAGACCGAGGCCTTCGACAAGTTCTTCGAGAAATCGCACCGCCGACGCGGGCAGCCGATCGA